TATATTTAATTGTGTGAATGAGAGAAGGCTGGTTACTGAAATGTCCATTCCGGCAAAACTAACAATTGTACATTACTCAAATCACCGCCTGAACATTGCGTGCTAACATTCAGCGATTACATGTATGTAATCTCATCCTATAAGTATAGGTCTGCGTGCACTGCACAGGGCTGCATTTCTATTTCTATAGCTTATCCGTAGATGTTCTGCATATGTATATTATCTATACTGTTTTGTATGAACATTTGTAATAAGTCAACCGCTTTCGGTTACGTATGAAGTCTGTGGCTTGCTCCAAATTTGATTAAAGTTTCAAGTTTCTGGATAACGCTGCAAATACAGTCTATTGTTCATTAACAGTTTCTTTGCAAAAACACAACAGCAGTTCAGGATAGCAAGCATAAAATAAAATAATGCAACGACAGGTTGTTGGCAATAAGTGAGCGCCGTTTTTCTAAGGACAGAAGGGAGGAGGAGAAGGAAGGGAAGCAGTAAGGATGGCACTTTTCGACATTGAAAAATTTTAATAGTGGCACTTTTAACTACTGCCACCAAAATTTTATTTTGACCTATCATAATAAAATACCAAATACTATAAAATATCAAGTATACTACAATGTATATCGAAAATAACAAATATATTAATATTATTAAAAATATATAATAAAATGCTAAAACCAAATAATGCTACTGAAAAATGTTGGCATTTTCTCGCAAAATGAATGTTTTGTGTGGGCTGGATTCCTCTCCCTCTTTTTAGTTCGTTCGAGCAGTATGGGCAAGTTCAGAAATATATGTTTTAGAGAGAGAGAGAAAAAGAGAGGAAGGTTGACGGCGATTTTACCACTCAAATCATTCGTCCGGTAAAAAGTAGTGTTCTTTTACGAAGAAGGATGGCATAAAGGAATGGATGATCAGCGATAAAACGTTTTGGCTGTGGTTCGAATGAGACCGATGTAATACGGGCCATACCGATCATTGTTGCCGCTGCCGCTTCTGTACCCTCCTCATTTACCTGAAATATTCGATAATGCATTCTTGCGCAAGTGCCTTCCTTGTCACATGAACAGTAAAACGGCAACCACGAGATAGCTATATGCTTCAGATTGCGAGATCCTGCAGTAGCTGTACTTGACTTTTTGGCTGTGTCCGTCCTCCATTAACTGAGGTTACGCCACGGTTTGCATCCAGGTGATACTGATTGATGGGTCGATAAAATGCTTCTAGATTTATGAGAAATTATAGTGAGGTCGGGCGCAAAAACGCATAAAAACGCGTGATCGCATCATCGGTGATGCGATCATGCGTTGTTATGTTTTTCGCTGTGCAGTGCTAATAGCGCCGCTAAAGCCAGCAAAAAAGCGTATTGTCGAGATGTTGTCGGTGTGTGTTTGAAAGCGAGTGAACTTTGTCACCCACTTTCATCTCAGCAACCAGGAAAGCTGGGAGGCTGAAATTTTGGGTATATGTTCCTGTGTTCCTATCCCGCGTGTCACCTTTCCGTTTTAAGATCCTCCCCCACATGCGCCCGCCTAGCCCCAAGAAAAATATGCAAATTTCTTTGACGGGAAAAGATTTCGCGAACCAGGCAAGATACAAAGCTGAACTTTGTACGGATATTTTCTGCGCAAGTGCGAGCTAAAGGTTCAGCTGTCGTTCACGCTTATGTAGCGCGTACGATCAAGCCAAGGTTTGCAAACTAGTACTCGAAAAATTGCATGAAAACACTAACTGAAATTTTGTCAACATGTTTGTCGCCTATATGACAAATCATATGTCTAAAATGAGTACCAATTTGCACTTGCGCCGCGACTTAGGGCGCTTCAAAAATATTTGTAGCGAAGTGGCTATTTCGCTTACCAGATAAGGTGCGAGGCTGAAACTTCGCTAGGGAATTCTGCTTTCAAGTTCGTTTTTCTACTTGGAGGTGAAATTCCCTGCGGTTGGGCATGAGACCGAAAAATCAGAAACGAGTACGTTTTGCAGCGAACGACCGCCTTCATCTAAATATGTAAATGGACATTCAGTGCATTTGTATACTTAGATTATTTGACGAACGACCGCTCTAGTAACATTTTCACTTTTTATTGAAGAACTGAAATTTTTTCACTTTCGAAAAACTTGCATTTTTCATTTTTTCAAAAAGCGAATATTTATCGAAAAACGACCAGGCTTCGTGCAGAAACTGACAATCACGTACCTGGAGTTCCATGTGGCCCTATAACGCAACAGCTTCATCCCAACCACCGCCCTTCCTCCTGCATGTCGGAAGAGGCCAAAACACGGCCAATATGAGCCCAAGTGATAGGCTATAGCGCAGGGATCATTCCTGCTATTAGTGATCTGCGAGTGTGTGTGCAAAAACGCACGATCGCAGCGGCAGACCTGGTACGTTCCAGTCTGGGTTGTACTATTTCGTGCTGCAGCAAGATCGCAAGGGATCACAGTAGTTAGAATTTATGACATCCTGGCATTCGAAATTTAGGAGCTGTGTGGTGTGTAAGTTTTAGACGTTGACTTCAGTGATCCGACAAACGGAAAGATGCTCACGTGCGAAAAAGACCCCATGAGATGAACTAAATTTGCAGTCTTTTAGTCACATATGAATAGAGGAATTCCTCTAAAATTCCAACTTTTTAGCTTTCTTCATTCCTGAGTTAGCAGTTTTCCAGCCAAAACTTCCACATGTCCTTACGTGAGTCCCGAGGGGTTTTAAGGAGCAAAATTTGAAATCTTTGGTTGTACGTAAGTGGTGAACATCCCCGCAAATCTTCAGCTTTCTAACTTCTCTCGTTCCTGAGTTAGCAATCCCTCCGCCAAAAAATTCAAAAAATTCACGTGTCCGCACATGAAACGTAAACGTACTTGGCAGTTAAACCATGTTTCCGGGATTGCATTTGGCCAGGGATACACTGGCGAAATTTCAGCGTCAAAGCTTGCGTGGCTGCCAAGTAGAAATGTCCAGACGGACGGACAAACACGCACACGCACGCACAAACATACACACAAACAGTGTCGTTGCAAATCGCGTTTTTGCTCCAGCGCTGCGCAGCAAAAATGAATAATCTCGGGCTGAAACGTAGCAAGCGAGCCGGTGCGCTCACGCGTTTTTGCAATATTTCACGCTGTAGCAAGAACGCAAGAAATCGCAGCAGACAGGATTTATAACATACTGGCCTTCGAAGTTCAGGAATTTAATTGTGCTGCTATATGGTATGTTAATTGTAGATGTCGGCTTCAATGACCCGACAAATGGGCGCAAAAAACACCTCACTAAAAAACACAATTTGAAACCTTTTAGCAGAACATGAGTGGGGAACATTTCCTTAAAAACCCAGCTTTCCAGTTTTTTCCGCTCTCGAGTCAACAATTTTCCTGCCTAATTCCTCAGATGTACTCGAGACCCGGGCGGCTTGAGGAGCTGAATTTGAAATCTTTTGGTCGTGTACGAGTAAGGAGCATTCCCCCCAAAGTTCCGGCTTAACAGCTTTTTACATTTCCGAGTTAGCGGTTTCCCCGCCAAAACTTTCACATGTCTGTACGTGAGAAACATGAGTGATATTGGACATCAGGCTCCTAACGTCACACTTGGCCAGGGAACAATTTGGCAGAATTCCAGGTTTAAGACTTGCGTGACTGCTAAGTACATATACCCGGACTGACGAGCATACGCACACAGACAGGGTAGTAGCAATATGCTTTTATGCTGCCTGTTGCAGCGCTTTAGTGCTGTGAGGCAAAAACGCGTAAAAATTGGTAGCAGTCGAAAAGATGCGCTGCAAAATCGTCGGAAAATTACCCGAAGATCGTTTTTAAAAAATAAAAGCCTGCATAATTTTCCATATATTTATATATATATATATATATATATATTTATCCAGTACTTGTGGGTAATTATGTGGACGTGAGAAGTCCAAAATGGAGATGAGTGGAGAAGTTAGCAAATGCATCAGCGGCGAGAAGGAACGAGACAAATTCTAAAATAAGAGCGATTTTT